TGTGAGATTCAGGAGCTCTCTCTAACCAAGCAATTAGCAGGGACCCAGCATTTGCTGTCAGAGCTGTCAGCACTAAGCTGCCAACCTGGGCTGCTGTAGGTCATTTTGGAGCACCATTTTTAGGAAGATCTGGGGGATCCTGCCACCCCTGAACAGGCACAAGTACAAAACCACTGGCTCAGCTACTCCTTCCCTGCTGGCCCCTGTGCAATCCCTGTTGAACAGAAGCTCCTGGGCTGCTGTGCAGTGAGGATATTCTGCTAAGAACAGAGATTGTGTCTGATCCACTTCTTCCTTCAACCCTTCTGCTAGAACTAGGTATCAACACAAATAAACAGTACTGGGTACAGCAGGCAGACACCCATCCTACCACACAGGCCCGCAGCAACAAAGGAAAATTAATGGATTGGGTTGGGGTTTTTTAAACATGGGGAAAGGCCACCTCCTGCCTCTCTCAGTTTTTTATGCATTTTCAAGTTTTCAAACTAGCCTTTTGATAGCAGCAATCTATATTTAAGACCCCAACACCTCTATTTGTGAGGCAGTCTGGGAAATAAGGCAGTCAAGCCACTTCCAGGCTACCCAACACTAACTGTTAAAAAAAAAAAGAAACGATATTTCAGTAGCTGAGCAGACTGACACGGTGCTTGAGATTAATGGAGTGCTGGTCTGTTGTTTAATAAAAATACACAAATACCAGTGAGGGTCATGGTACAATTCAACACCATTCCCATGCCAAAAAGCAACAGTGAAAAAAAGCAACACCCCTGTACTTTCGCCAGCTGCAATGAGAATTCTTACTTACTATCCACACATTCTTATGTGAAGAACTTACAAAGGCTAAAATTGAGCTGAAATTCTAACCAGACTCATGAAAAAAACCAGAATTATTCTTAAAGATCCTCTGCTGCAGAAGTCAGCGACCATCTCAAAAACACTCAAAGCACAAATATCAGGAGACTGTAAGTGGCAAATACTGATTAGCTAAAATAATCAGCATTTCACTAAAAGGAAATATCCAAAGGAAAATAAAATTATTCTGGCTATTTTTTCTTTTTTAGTGAAATAACATGTATGTTTTATTTTCAGTTTGTTCCACTGGAGCAGAGGAGAGAGAGATAAATGAAAGATGAGAGCCATAATCCGTGAGAGCACTCTCAAACTTCCACAGATAGTGAAATTTAACACTGACAGATATGACAGTAGCTCATCTCAGGGTCTAAGCTCTGCTCTGGAATCAGGGACAGGACCGAAAAGAATAGGGATAAAGAACTTTTATCAGCCTCAGCTGGTAAGAGAGGCAAGGTGTAAAAATAGTCTGTAAGCATTGTAAACCAAGAAGAAAAAAAACCTCTGTATCTGCTTTCTTGCCATTTTACTCTTCAAATTGTTGCTGTTACAGTAGAGTGGGGTTTAAGTTTAGTATTAATTACTACAGAATCCCCACAATTACTTACCCTCACAGTAAAGAATTTCTTCCTAATATCTAATCTAAACCCACCCTCTGTCAGTGTGATGCCATACCCCCTTGTCCTGTCCCTCCAGGCCCTTGTCAATGGTCTCTCTTCATCTTTCCTGCAGGCTCCCAAAATTAGGTCACCCCAAAGCTTCTCTTCTCCAGGCTGAACAATCCCAGCTCTCCCAGCCTTTCCTCCCAGCAGAGCTGCTCCATCCCTCTGATCCTCCTGGTGCCTCCTCTGGACTCTCCAGCAGCTCCATGTCCCTGCTGTGCTGTTCCCCAGGGCTGGAGCAGCTCTGCAGGGGGGTCTCACCTGAGGGGCAGAATCACCTCCCACACCAGCCTTGTTTTAGAGGACTCCACTCTCCAGGATCAGGATCCACTTTGGATCCTCAGTACTGGGATCACAGTTATTTGCACAGTAACCCCAAGGTGCTCCTGTGATCAGCAGCAGCAAAAGTTTCAGAGACTTCACATCCTGTAGGGAGATGTCGGACAAGGGAACGAGTGTTTAGGCCTGGTTTAGTGCTGCCCAGCATCACCAAGGCAATGATAACCACATCCTCATTTCATGAACTCAGGACTGTGCACTCCTATCAGAGCACCCTCAGGGCTATTAAGGACAGCACAAAACCCCACAAACACGAGCAATGCATACTATAGCTACATATCCAAAATTCCTGGTGTAGGAAGTTGCTCACCTGTTGCTCCAGCACACACTTTCCTGTCATTCCCCAATCCAAAGGACCATTCCAAGTAGCCACCCCAACCTTAAAAATGTTCCCTTCAACAAAAAGGGAACAAATGAGGAAATGCACGGAAGATTCAACACCTCGTTTGGAAAACAGAAGTAAGCAGATGAACAGGCAACACCCTAGAAATTAATAAACACTGATCTAGAAGATATTTCCAGAACTTTAGACCACCCTGAAACAGAAGACTGCAGGTTCTAATTAGGACTTTAAGTGTGTTTATATACATACACAAAACATTTTTATTTATATGTGCACACAACTTATCTGGATTCTCAGATTTCATTCACATGCTTCTCGAGCTGAAGAGATTTCTTTTACCATTTTGCTATATTTTAACAATATATTCACTACAGAGTGGTTACATAATTAAAAGCCTTTAATTAAAGAAGATTAATTACACATGAGATAAGCACAAACACTAAACAAACTGCTTCAGAGAAAACCCAGAATCTGACCTACCAAAATGACTTTCTATGCAATTACACATGCTGTGAATTACTGTTTGTAGATAATTGCATGGGCTGTCTCCTCAAAGTCAACCGACCACACATTAAAGTTAAATAACATCAAACCAAAAAAGAAGTCAGGGCTGATTGGATGTGCAGTTAAATGTGTTCATTTTTTATATATCTCAGCATTAACACACTACTGGTTCAAAATCATTTCCTAATGCTTGACCGAATGGACAAAGAAAAGGCAACATTTAGCTCCCACATCCAGTAATGGAAAATTTTAATTGCTTTTGGGATCTCTGGCATTATTCTTCCTAGCAGACAGGGTCAGAGCAGCTTTGTACCCAACACTGCACATGCTCTAGTCCACAATGTCAAAGAATGAAAGTAAAGCAATAAGAAAGGGGGGCCATTGGGCACATTTCAAGAGCTATCTATATTCATTTAAAAAAAAAAAATCAGTTTCACAGCCATCAGTGGGAACTGCAAGTGCAGGGGAAGAGAGCCACACAATTCAGAAAGCTTTCACAAAGGGAGTGGAAGCCCTAGAAACAGCAGAAAATGAAAAATTGCACTAACTTTTAATTGATCTTCTAAATAGAAGTGCGAATGCTTTTGATAAATCCATCCAGACTATGAGTTTTGCTGACAAAGGAAAAAAACAAAGAAACAACCACCCCCAAAAACCCCCATAACTCTACTATTTCAGTGAAAATTGTCTATTTTTGCATGTTGGCTATTTTTAGGTCTCTGAAAGTTCCTTTCTTAGACTACATTCACAGATAGGTCACCTGTATTTAGAACAGAGATTTCCTAGACTGTTTTCTAACTTCATTTATAAACATTTCAATGGTATGTTTGTTGCTGGAAAGGTGTGAAAATGACAGGTTTACATTTTTATGACCCTTTTTTCTCAAGGGAATAAGGGAACAGAAACCAGTGCAAGGATGAATTCTACCAGCAAAAGAAACTGAAGTTCTAATTATAGTCTCCAAGGCAGATGCTGCAGAGTAGTCTGCCAAGACCTCTTTTATTAGCTAAATAACCTCAAACTATTTCAAGAGTGTAATCTATCAAAAGGTATGGAAGAACAGAAGGCAATTTTAAATAAGTGTAACAACTGCTTTATTTATTTGTTTGTTTGTTTTAATTGAAAGAAACAAATAATCTTTCCAAAAGGTTGATGTGTGTGGAAGGAGTTAGCCAGGGAAGTATGAAAGTCCTGGAGTAAAAATGCAATATAACTCCTAGTCTTACAGAAAACTGTATATACATGTTGAAGACAGAATGTATACAACATGTTTTTTCCCCTTTTATCTGGTGGTATATGTAACTGCAATTCGAAGCACAAGCAAATTATAAGCATGAGCCTATAGCACCTGCAGAACTTTAAAGTGCTTAAAAATGTAACATTAGCTTCTCCATATTGCATATGTCATAAGGGCATTATTTGTCTTTTGAGCTACCTTGAAATTCTGATGACAAAGATTGTGGTCACTTTATTTCCCCCTCCCTGGGTGCTGCTCTAGCCTGCTTACTAGCCTTTGAAAAATTACTGCCAAGAAACAACAGTAACTGAGATATGACTGCTGTTTTCTATTCCTTCATTATGCAAATACTTTGAAAACAGAAAATATCGTGTGCAAGCTAAAAATAAATGGACTTGATGATCAAACCCATGCTTTATAACATAAATGCTGATGATCTAATGTAAATATTGATTCGAGTGAGGAGGCAATGTTTTGCTGAGGTCTAGACACACCATTACTGTACCAGCTAAGAGCAGCCAAAGCCCCCGTGCCTGCCTGTGCAGAGAGATCTGCTGCCTTCTCACTGACCCCTCAACTGCTGCAGGAACCCCCAGCACAGGTGTGAGCTGAGCTTCTTGTACAGGCCAACTACAGGGACTGCTGGCTTGGAACTGCAGGCAAAATGCAGCTCAACACAGCCTCTGGTAAGATTCTTAAACACCCATCCCTGCAGCCTGCTGAGCATAACCAGGCTAAGGGCAATGCTTATCCATAAACACCATTTTATCAGATGGCTTCAAACAATAATAACAGATATTTTGTAAAGCTTCTGTAAATTCCTAGAACTCCAGGAAGAGAGGATTTCACTTAACTGTCACCAAAAAATAATCAATCCTCATCAAATACGGGTTTGAAACTGATGAATTACCACCTCAAAATAATAAAATAATGCTTGCAATGGTCTTCAAACAGCAACGAGCTCTCAGTCTCAACTGAATCCATGTTACTGCTTTGTCTCCGCTACTGCTTCTCCCCACACTAGAGACTTTCTCCTTTTTATTATAATTACTGAAAGAACTCTTACCTTTCCATCTCGTATTCTTTCATTCCTGGTTTTACTGCCTTCATTACCTGTAAGATACATATTAACATGGGACAATGATAGCAGGAGGGAATCTCATATTTATAAATTTATGACTTATGACTATCTCCAGAGGAACCTATAATACAAAAATATCATCTGTACTTTATTTAAATTTACATCAGTAGATGTATTTTAAAACTACATTGGAATCAATCTCGTTTTAATCTTTATAAATGCTTGCAGTCTCCAGCAATAAAGCAAGTTTAATTGCCAAACTACTATGTCCTAATGAAGCACAGCTCATCAAAACACCAATGTTTAATTCTGAAAGCTGTGGTGAACTTGGCAGCAAGTCCTTTTGTTTTACTTTAGCAAAACAAAGCTATGAACTGGATTATATTACAATGGAAGAGTCTCTTTTACACTTTGCAATCTGAATCAACTGGAAAACTACTGGAGTTAACACTCATTTACAACTCATAAATCTTATTTTTGTTCTCAGATTTGCTAAGAATGTTTTATTCCTTTGCCTGTTTCTGTATTATAGAAATTCTAGGCAGCTGATGTACAGAAAAAATACTCTCAGATGTGAGAAGATTATTCAAGGATGATAAAGAACCGAGGAGAACAAATGCAAATTGATCACCTCTTGACTTTTCAGTTTTACAATGTTCACTTTAAAACGTTGTTACACTTCCCAGTTCAGCAATCTGAGCAGGAGCAAAGCCAACAGTTGAGTGAGTCACTTCAGCAGCTGCTTTGACCTAAGCTCCCTTTGGTCATCACCACTCCCAGAACTCATGGCATCTCTGCATCACTACCTGGAGCACAGGACTGACACCGGGTTAATTCTGCCCCCAGCACCAGGAGAGCAGCACAGCTCCAGTGCTGGGTCTGACCTGAGCAGCCTTGTTGAGAGCCTGCACTTGTCTTTGCCACACTGCTGCAGCAGCAGAACAGCAAGACTCAGCACTGCCCTGGGGGACAGACACACCTCTCAGGAGCAACCTAAGGACTCCTTACCCTGTCCTGCACTGGGCATGAAACACCTCTCCAGGCTGGAAGCACCTGCAGAGTTACCTGCTAGTTAAACCTTTCAGACCTGCACATGCTGACATGGGCCTGACTAATCTTCTGGATCTTTTCTTTCTCCATCACCATACAGGTATTTGTGCACACAGGACAAACAGATTGCAAGCAGGTCACCTTCTGCTGAGGCTCCAGCTCTTACCCAAAACCACACTTCATTCCTCACACATCACAAATGCACCAGTGAGTTCAAGGACAATGCAAGGTATATTACTGGGCTGTAATAGGAGGGATATTATCCTCTTATTTCTATCCAGCCTTTCCATTATTTTATTACTAAGCAATTCTGGGTTGCTGGGAACATTTTCTGAGTACCACTGCTACACTAAGAGCAAAAATTATTAACACTAAAGGACCCATTACCTCTTTATGAGCTTCACTGGAGATTTTATTGGTGTAGCGCAGAACTTCCAACTCCATGTCTGTCTTAATCACACGACTTAAAGAAAAGGAGAACAGAGAGCACGTTAGGCTGCAACTTCACAGCTTAAGAATACAAAATTAAAAACCCCCTGAAAATAATTTGCATCACCCATTGTAAAATTAGATCAAGTACACCCCAAGAGCAAACAGCTATTACAGTATTCATGACAGCAAAGTTCTGTTGGCTTTGATTCAGCATTAGCAAAACAATCTCACAAAGGGAAGTCACAAGCATTTCAAACATCAGCCTGCCCCATTTAATACTCATAAACAGGTGGTTCAACCAACATTTTTTTCAACTCATTCTACAATACATTAGGAACAAAACCAATGCATTTCTGCATTTGTCATGACTCAAGCACTGCTTCAAATAGAACATTTCTATAAGCATACTTGATTTACTTTTTAAACACAATTTGAAACTAGTTTACATCATTAAATTCCCAGATCTCCAGAATTCTGTTCAGCACAATCCCAACTCCCACCTATTTGCAATACCTCAAAAGGTGTGCAGGGGGTGGTGTAAAGAAATGCTATTTCTCTTTGGTGTTAAAAAATCCAAACCATGAAATTCAGAAACCACAGCAGCAGTAATTACAGCCACAATCTCCATTCTTTCACATGCTTCTGAAGGAAAATAAAAAATAAAACCCCCAAAACCAAGCAAACCCCTAAAAACCCAATCCTGCTCTTATAAGATAATGAATTTGTGTATGTTTATGTGCCTTCACACTCTCTTCTGAACTCATCTCAAAAATTTACCATTTAATTCTTCTCTACATGTATTTTTATCATGTATTTCAAATAATATTTAGTGTGACATGAACAGGAAAGCATTGTCCCATAATTCCTGTTAAAAACCACATGCTCTTTCCACTGCTACACACCCCGAATTCCCAGTATTTTTCATGCCTATCTCAAAGGCAGCTGAGAAGTACATTCTTACTGTTTACAAAGTGCAGAACCACATCTCTTGAATCGCGTGAAAATATGTAAACTGCATTTTCCAGCTCCACTCCAGAGTCTGCAGCAGTTACAAAGCACCATAACTGATGTGCTTTGAAACTGCCACCGAGACCCCCCTTTTTACTGTACCACGCTCCTCCTCACGCGGCTGTAGAAAACTATTTACTGTATTTCTGCTCCTGTAGTTCATTTTAATGAGTCCAGAGACAGGCTTCTCAGCCATCAGTGCCTCTGAGGTGAGAGCAGAGCACTTCCCACAGACAGTGATTGCACTGCTACAGCTCAGCCACTCCCCTTCCAACCCAACCTTCTGGCAAGAGCAAAGGTGCCTTTGTAAAATCCCAATATCGATCAAAACGCGCTTACAAACAAACACAGCAGAGGGGAATGGATTGACTTTCTTAGGCAATCGGAATATGACACAAAATAATCATTATGCACATTGAGAATGAGAAGCACAAGGTTTTAAAATGCACACAAAAGCACAAAAAAATTACACCGGGATGGTAAAATCTGCTGACCATGGGTGAGGAAACAAATTTCTGCTTCTGTCTTTCAGCCAAGACGTAAAGAACAGTGGCCCAAATACATTCCAGGTAGAATGAGGCAGCAAAGGCCTATAGATTATTTTTTTTAAATCCTGTTCTTCGGAAGACTGCATGTGCTAGCAGGGTAATTTAATACTGGTTTGATGTGCCTTTATATTACTTTCAATATACAGTACATATCCCTGATCTGCAAGTGCCTGAAAAATAAGTTGTTTCATAATTCAGTTGTCTAATCTCTGTTGGAATCTGCTAGTAATACAAGTCAGTAACTGCTCCACAGCAAGTGCAAACAGTATTAAAACCCATTTTCCTTGACTTGGACATAAGGCTTCAGGGTTCAAGGTATTTATTTTAGATGACAATTTCTCAGGTATCTTTCTGAATAGAGAAATTCATTCTCAGCCTCAGACACAGTTTTTATGCAATGCAACCCCTTCATTTACACAAGGTCAGGCAGTGAAATATTTTACAGAAGATGTTTAGTCATTCTGAGACCAATAAAACCCACTACCCAACCATTAGCAGGGAAGAGAGGGAAGACGTGCAATTGTGCAGGGAACATGATCACCTTCACCCTCCACTAGATACCAAAAAGGCACTGGTTACAGTGGTACTGTTGATGGAGTTGTCTGGGTAGTAGACATGTCTGGGTAGTAGAAAGGCCTTTATTTCACCACCACCTCACTGCCCTGATGGTGTAAAAAGCAGCACTTCCCCAAGCCAGGTTTAAAGCAGTGCTACCCAAGCACCTCAGGGCAGCCTTGCAGGTGATGAGTGTCCACAGTTCTCATGATGTTTCCCCCTCACTTCCAAAAGAAGGATAGGATGAAAATCACACCTTTGTTCATGAACGTGAACTTCAACATTCTCTTAAAAACAGCTCTTGGACCAGTTACACACTTTGCATAAATGCATTAATATTTTAATGGGAACAAATAATTTCCAGGCTCCAGCTAATGCAACTGTGAAAATGGACAGATTCAGCATGGAAGGCAGCCCTCAGACTAACAGGCACTCAGTGCAATCAAGTTGAAAGAGAAGCACAAGTCTCTGACTGTCAGGACTGGCCTAAAATTTTCAGCTTTTTTTCCCCCCCTCATTTTAGCACTTCCTCTTCTTAATTCTCCTCTTTTGCACACATTTTGTGCTTTTATTTGCACTTGGCCATATGAGCAGCTGGTCTTTTCACATATGTCAGTCATCCAACAGGAGAGGGAAGCTTTAATATAAACAAGTATCACTTCAATCCTAAAATCACATTTGGGCATTTTAAATGCCTGGATGCCAAATTTCATGCACAACCTAATCAAGTGGTCAGAAGCATACAGAATTTGAGGCAATTATGAAGCTGACAATCACCTAACTCAACTACATTTTCCTAAACTGGTGCTTTCCTCCAAGATACACAAATGTTTGCTTCTCTCTGTGCACTCTGCAGCCCTGATCACACCACCAGAAGGGTTTTATCACACGCCTTGTTTTGCTGCTTTTTAGTACATGTGCACAACCTTAATGGCTCCTGCCCGTGACATGCATGGAAAACATCTGGGAACATCCACTCCCCCTTGTCCTTCTGGAAATATTACATTTATAGACCACCTAACAAGTGCAAATGACGCCCATGTAGACAGACCCCACAGTCCTGCCTTGTCTTCACCCTTTCTCACCTCTGCTGTTACCTTTCCACACTTTATTTATAGAAATTTCTCTTCCACAGTTGATATATTTATGCTCTTCTGCAAGGCACAACAACTTGCTGAGTTAAGATCAAATGCAAAGGAGAGGCATCACAGCACAATTCTGAAACTCAGGTGCATGAACACCAAACACAGGAGTTCAAAAACATGTTAAGAGCTTTACAATATAGACAGAAAACCCTCTGAAAACACAAAAAGCATATGCACAGCTTTAAGACAGTAACATACAGATCACTTTCCCCAAAGAAATAATTATAGCTTTCCATCAAAGTAATACAAAATACAGAGCACATGACATCTTCCAGTTATAACTATCAAATCCCATTTTCACTGGGGTTACAGGAAAACACAGTACAAATACAGGCACAAAAAGAGCTGCACATTGCTAAATGTTTACTTCTAGCACCACCACAATTATGGTAGGCAGCCACTGGTAAAATACAGTACCAAAAGGCCATTTTGCTAAGTGCTAGTGTAGAAAAACCTCCTTCTGATTAATAGGGAGATAATTTGAACAAGTTTCATCTTCTGTTTGATAACATTTTCCTTTCAAAACAGTGAAATCAATACTTAGTGTATACATTTCACTATCAAATTTGACATGGAAGCCCTTAAGTTTAAAATGAAAGTTTTTAAATCTGTTTGGAAACACATCCACTCAATAAAACTGGGGGGAAAAAAGAAAAGAAAAACCCTCTGCAAACTGCTGAAATCCAAAGGTCAAATTCTTCTATGTTTTATCCTTAAGTTCCATGCCAAGTCAGAAAATGTTGAAATCTTGAAAAAGGATGAGTAAGCAAGGGAGGCAACAGATCCTTAATGACAAATGTTTCGCCCCTTGTCAGTATTGAACCATCTTTTCTTGCATTTTATTAGAGGATTGTATAATCCTGCTTCAGAAAGCTCAGCCATTTCATCTCTTGCTGGTGGTTTGACAGCAAGGCACGGAGGAGTTTTTCTGACAAGTACCATATAAAACACAGCAGTTCAGAGCTTGCTGAATTTGAAATGATATCCATCCCTGCGAGCAATGATTCAAAGGATGCAATTTCATACCCTAGAATACAACCCAAAAAAATTCATCTTCCTAAAAGAAAATTTTTCTTCATTTTAAAAATATTATTGCTTGCCAAAGAAATTTTCTTGGGCAGTAACTTGACATTCCAAGGAGATTTCTGCTTTAGTAAGCTTTAATATACATAACCTGTCATTCACATATGATTTCACCAGACACTTAAATCCTAACAACAGTCTTTAACATACTTCTGACTCAAAATGAAACCCACCAAACTCAATAAAACCTTTTAAAACACTTCTGAATGCAAATCTGAACTTTGGCTTCACTTAGGATTCCCCTTCCTTGAAAGCCAGGTGGAGGGAAGGTGCATACCAAGCATTCCTCTTCCCCTGGACTGCAGGGAAGACAAAGTCAGAAGTCCAGGCTGGCACTCACAATTCACTGAAGAGATGATTCTCTCTACCCCAGCTCCAAGTGCTGCCTTTCTACTGCCTCAGTGCTCCACCTCTCTCAGCACAACCTCCAGGGCATGGACCTCATGTTCATCTGTCCCTGAGCTTCCTGAAGAAGATTTAACCACCCATTAATTGAAACCACAGAGGAGAAAAGCTTATCTGGTGACACCTTGGTAAGGTGGATGGAAACAGACTGAAAGCTAACTCAGGAACAAGTTTGCAGCCCTAATCCAAAGCCTTCTGCAGCTCAAACTGTCACCTGTCTCCCTTCTGCACTGCCATAACTACAGAGCAAAGCTTGGAAGTCATACAGGACCCTCTCCAGGTCCCCTTCCTCATCCTCATCACCCCTCATTTCAAATCAGAAATCAATTCTAAAAGATAACTTCTTTGTTTAGGAAAAGGAAAGGTCCAAATTCTAGCAGGACAAAGTAAGTAAAGTTTAAAAATTAGCACCCCAAGCTTTCTGTGTTACAAAGCCCTCCTATTCCCCCTTACACTCCTGAGCAGGAGGATTAAGCCCCACTGCTGCACAGCTCCAGGGCCATCCAGGACTCGGGGATGCAACAATGTCTACACAGTCTCTCCCCTCTCTACTTTCCTTTCAGAGCTTAAGGTCGTGCCAAGCAGTGGAAAATGTCTGCAACAACAGAACTGTGACCTTTTAAAAATTCTACACCTTCTGAAACCACTCTGATGTTTGAAAAACATCTCCACGGTTCTCAAGTTGGCAATTAGCTGTAGATGAAGACAGCAGAAGATAGTTCTCAGTGTATGTGCTAATAATAAACATTAAAAAGTATAAATGTAGTAGCATATAATACAATACAGTGAGAGTGAGAGTGTACACTTGCCTTTTGTATTTTAAGATTTTAAGCTTATCTGTCTTAACTAAGGATTTGCTTCCTCATTTCTAGATTAATATACAAAAAAAAAGCTTAGATAAAAACCTTAACATTAACAAAAATGTTCTTTCTTCAGTTAATTTCCTAAATGGAAAACTAGAAAGCCTTAGTTATGGAGAAGAGTCAGCAACACTGATCAAAAGAGGAAAACTAGTAAAATGCAGTAGTTTTGCACTTAGTCACACTCTAATTTGTCTATTCCAGACAGGCTACACCTGAATTCCCATAGAATTACAAAGTATGGTAACATGAATAATAATTCAACAAAATTAAGGCTGCTAAAATAAATCCTAGAGAAGTAATAACACCTAATTAAATACTAGATGTTTAGACAGAGTTTTGATCTACCTTTGATTTCTGTTGCTAGAATATAAATAATCCTCAGTTCTTTTCCTATTCATACAAATTCATATTTACATGAATGTGACTTAACTCCTAACACATCCTATAAAAATGTGTATCCAGGAACAACGTTAAAGAGATGTTACATAAATTCTTCGCTTTTGAACGCTGTTACCTAGCCCTGTTTTTACTTTTATACATTATTTCCACTCCATAACATGAAATCAGCTTAAAATTAAAACTCACATTGTAAAGTAGGAGGCTTCTGCAGAAGGAATCTCTCTGCAGCAATGGCACAATAAAGGCATGTTCAACGGGACTCAAAGAGGAAGGTTTTATGCTACTCACCATTCTGCAATTTCAGGATGAAGGATTTTGTTGTTCACATTAAATCTACAAAAAACCAAAAGACACCAATATTAAAAAAGCAGCCAGACACATGTATTTACTCTTTTTTTTTTTTAACTGTGTCTTCTCCGAGGCAGTAGAGTGAAAGCAAATATTGTATGGGAGTTCAGCAAAGAGGAGACTGCACACACTCACCTTCACTGCATTTAGTTCTGAAACACACAAGAATAAATCAGACATGTAATTTTAAGGATGTGTAGAACCCAGAGTAACAGTATTTGAGACATACTTATTGCCCTTCTTCCACCAGACTGACCTCCAAAGGTCCCTTCCAAATTATGCTGTGATTTTAACTTTGCTCCTCCAACACCCTCCAATGAAATTAAACACAGAGAATTGCTGATTTTGGCCTTTGTTTTATGCCTTCCCATTTTTGTGTGCACAGAAGGTGGCATTTGATAAACAAGCTTGCTTAGAGGATGGTGAAAGGGAAAACAACTTCTCCATGTCTTTTCCAAGCCATACAAGAGGCAGAGCAGAAGCTTCCACCTCACCTTGGCCTCTAACACTTATTTGCTTTTCTGTTTATTTTCTACAATAAGCAATTCATGTATTCTTGGAACTATTTTGAGGTTCTCTAAACAATAATATTATAGTGGCCAATAGAGTAAGAAGCTGAGTAATTAGGTGGAACACAAATGGATTTTCAAACATTGTTCAAGGGGGTTTTTTGCTTACAATTTAAATGGTTGAGGAGTGTTCTGCATCAAGGATATTTCTGTCTGACTCAGGACTGTTGGCTCCTCAGTTATGGCTTTTAAGAGAATTAAAATGTTCCAAGGCTCCCAACAGGTCCTCAAAAGCACATTGTAAGGCAACAATTCATTTTCCCACATTTTTGAAGGAAAAATTAAATCTATTCCAGGTTATTAACCATTCTTTATACATCAGAAGGGACCAACTAAGCACAAATCCAATTTTATAAATTATTTAGAAGTCACTTCTAATTGTACAAGGGTCTTCCTGCATCCTCAGAAAGCAGAAAACAACCCCTATGTTTCTCTTTTTCAGAAACAGATGCTCATAAACTTAAAAAATCCTAATAAGGAGAAGGCTAATAGCTCTGTGTTCCTATCCAAGATACAAAACAAAAACTTATCACAATATCCAACAAGGACAAGCTGTATGGTATTCAGCATTATGGGTATTAATGAGAAATCACTGTAAAGGCAACTCAATACAAAAAGCCACCAGTCACAGAACAATGCATCATTATGGAATAAAATTGGTCACTTGGAAACAAAAAAGTATCTAAAGGGCACATTTTCAATTTAATCATCACCATCACAAAAATTATTACCTATGTACACCAATGCAGAAATAATTCTGGAATGGAAGAGACAGTAAACTACAAATTCATACAGAGGAAAAGATATGAATGACAAAGTAAAAATCAATCTATAAAATTTCTAACAACCCAAAAGCCTGAGCTCCCTGCCTGGCTGGAAAGCACACCAACTGACACCACCACAGAAAACCAAGACACAGAAGAATTAAGCTGCAGCTGTAACAACAGAAAGAAAACTTTCAATAATTGTCACCAGTGTGTCAGACAGAAAACAGATCAATGAAGGCAAGTGTAAGGAGACACTGCAGCACTGCAGAAAGCTCCAACACCAGCTCTATGCAAACAAGAGTAAACTATGGTTACTGTAAAGGAACAAAAGAAAAGAAAGGGCAGGGAAGGGCAATTACAGAAGGCAGCTGACTTGGACTCTGAAAATCCACATTTCGAGAACCTGACCAAGCATCAATGGATGAAATCCAAAGGAAATCAAATGAGCCAAACATGAACCTCACAACAGAAGACTACCTCATCTGAGCATAGGGAAATAGGGGAAAAAGTGTACACTGGTGTAGGCTTATAGCTCAAATAACACTTCCAGAAAAGCCATTTCAGCCACAGAGATGCACCATCTGCATCGCAGTCCCTGGATTTGACCCTTCCTGGCCATAAAGGCTCTTCCTGAACTGTCTGTGCTGCCAGAAATGCAAGTTTTACCTGTTGGCTGGGACCACTTACTATGTGGCAGCTCCTTAAAATCCTAGTTGCTGTCAACTGGGGAAGCTAATTAAACACACAGAGAGGCAGCAGGACTGAATCAGGAGGGCTCTGGGGTGGAGGAGAGGCAGGAGGTCATCAGGCAAACACGTGAAAGACCGACTTTGTGATGCAGTGTCAAGAAGAAAACAAGATGTTAGACCTCCAGGACACAAGAGCAATTCATACGTGGGAGAGAATCTATTGTAGGTTGCTTTTTCAGGGAGTTAAGGATGGAACTGTCTCCGTCCCACTCAGCCTGTGGGTCCTGTGTGAGTGGCTGCAAGGCCTCCTGTTCACAACTGTGAGATTTCTAAGGCAGGTGACTCAAATTACACCTCACTTTGGTTACTGCTGTGCTTTAGGAATGTTGCTCCCCAAATTAGTGCTCCCACTAAAACCACACCACTGCTCCCCCCTCCAGCTGGAAGCACAACAGGCAAAGATCACGGGTTGAGATAAAAACAACTTACTGGGAACAGCAATGAGGTGAGAAAATGAACAGTTACAGCAGCAGTATTAATAACAAAAGGTATAAAACAAACAAATGATTTACATGGGAAAAACCCTGACAACAGTCAAAATACTGACCCCTCCACATTTCTCCACTGGAAGGAACTCCTCCTCCTCCCAAGAGAGGGAGAGTTTCCCTGCCCCCAGCAAAGATGTGAGGTGGTACAGAATAAATCGGGGTCCTGGCCATGCCCCCTCCCTGCTATTGCAAAAAATTAACCCTGTCCTGGCCAGAACCAGGACATTTACCCACAAGGCAGCTAAACAAACCACGTCCTAAAAGTTACTGCTTACGCTCAAGGGGAAGAGCTTTTCACCATCAAGTACAGAACAGTGTAATTCACGTAATTTGTGCACAAACCCCCACATAAAATCACCCTACCTTGGCCTCCCAGCAAAGTTTTGATCTCACTAGACAGTAAACAACTTACTCTTACAAAACATGTACTGCCCTAATGTTAAGAGGATCACGCAGAGCAATTTAATTCCACATTTTTTCTGCAATTTGCAAATTGACAATACTTAGATGATGAGATATGTGGTCCTGAGGAAGAAAACAAATTGACATTTGCTACAGTTGCAATCTGTAACATATTAATGCTCCCATTTAATCAACACAGAACTAAGAAATAGTACACTTAAAGGCATGTCCAAATTGATTTCGTACTCAGTTGTCCTTTAACATGCAAGACAAATTCATTAGTTAAAAAAAACCTGAGAAATCTACACCTCCTGTATAGTAGCACAGTATAATGAGACCTCTTTTTGTCACTTTAACAAGTACACTGTGTGTCTACAGTGATAAAAATCTAAAACACAACGTTAGAATTTTCTCCTCCTAAACATGGAGAGGCCTTCTCCTAACGACTGACTTCATTACCAGTATGAAAAAAGGCCATTTAGGTGGTCTTCACTGTCATACCCAACGAGTGCAGTTCTGAGGGACAGGAATTCACTGCAAAACTTTAAATATTAGGTACAATTGCCTAAACTGTCCGTCATTCACATCAACTGATTCTGAGGGTGAAAAAACCTCTGTCAACACAGAGAGTAATGATTTATTAATGTTTTAAAGTATATGGCACAGTACTGTTCAACCATACAGGTTCAAAATCCAGTTTTCTGTGTGGTGAGTCACGTCCCCCCAAAGCATTTTTACAAGGGCTACATAACTGACATGATTAGACTAAAAAAATCCTGCACATTTTCCAGTCTGAGAAACGGGTCTATGAATGAGGGAAGAAACCCACAAACACAGAAGGGACCTTTACTAGAAAACAGAAATATGTATTTCTAGAAAAGAAAGCATTAGAACTGCTTTGGAAATCCGCTTTTAGAAATCTCCAGATGATTAAGGCACCTGGAGCAAGAGACAGCAAGTCACTTCTGCAGGATTCCCAACAGCTGCAAACAAAGCTGACCTGGGGGGAGCTCCCAGGAATAGAGGGTTAGTGAACAGTGCAGCTCTCCTGTCCTAAGCCCCTGTCCCAGACTGGTCCCTCCACTGAACCTCACATGGTACCACCCCTCTGCTGAGTGGGGCAACTCCCCACGTCCCACCGGTCTCTGTCTGAGGCCAACACAGGAACTAATGAAAACCAAGATATAATTCACTATTATGGGCTCTGTACTCAGGATAAAATCAAGTTTGACTACTGCTAGCACAACAAAAATGACTTAGGGTTGATCTTCAGGGCACAGAAATAACCCACGACCACAGGTGTCATTTTGCCTCAAATGACTATTGATTACACTAAAAAAATTAGTCAAATAGCTTAGGTAATAACATTCCAGAAGAAGTTCAAAAAGTTCAAAAAGGCAGGGAAGCAACATCATTAGGGCAAGAAAAAGACAGCTTCTTGATAGAAGCCAAGGAACAGCCTGCAAAGAGAGCAAGATTCAGCTTTTTCAGGAAATTATACATTATTTCCAGTATTATCCATCACCAGAAAAAAACACCAAAAAACCCCCACGCCAGGCCAAGTCAGCCTAGGAGAAAAAACAAATATGGGAGCAGGAGGAACACAAAAGGGCCCTGGCAAGAAAACAGATCTTGGCTAGGCAGCCAGAAAACAGAAACAAACAGGGGCCCAGGAATAAAATAAGAGCATCTTCACCAGAGCAGAGCCAAGGATGGAGAGAGCCAGCAAGGAACAGGCAGGAGGGAGGGAGGGCAGATTGAGGGAACACACTGCTCACTATAAACTCTGTGGGTTTAATCCCCTAGGAAACAACTGACACATCCAAAATACATGTTTCTATAAAGGAAAGATTCATTACAGGAGAGGTGGAGAAGCAGGAATGCTGGAATTGGTTTGGGTCTGCGTTGAAAACAAATATAAAATGGACTGGTTTATACACAAAACCTGTTGCAAAAACCTGAGGAGAGCAGAGTTTAGAAGGAAGCTCTCCTCCTCCTCTGGACTCCTGATGGACCAAGCACACCAGAGACAGGACAGTCTGGAAGGAGACAGAAGCAGCATCAGGAAGATTAAGGGAAAGCAGGAGCAACACGTGGTTTGAGGGCACAGTATCTGTCAGATGAGGGGAGTTGATCCAACAACAAAATCAATGCATGCTCTTCCACACCATGAGCACTGGAGGGGAAGATACCAACCAGAGCTGTCAAAGGGAGCAAAATGAATGACCTAGTGCCTAGGGGTGGAGAGGGCTGAGCAGGTGCCAAGTCTCAGAGGAGAAGTTTCTGCTAAAAAGCTGGCAGTCACCCCTAAAGAATGGAGAAGCACTCCTGGAGCACACCAACAGCATCTTTGCTGCTAACCAAGAAGCCAGTGCTTAAACATCATTAATCCCTTTAAGTGTTGAAGGAGAGGTGCTATTAAAATCTCGAATCAAGTGCTAAATGGAGTGGTTTCCTAGCTTTATGTTGACTAGTGAATGTCTTGCTAATTAAACTCTAGTGTTTAGTGAAATTCAGAGGGAAAAAAAGGGGTTTTTGGTACTTCAGACCTTTGTACATCACTCCAATAAAGAATCACTGCTGGAGTGATCATAATTCACTGATTATACTTCAAGCAGAGGTGCCTCAGATAAAACTGGAGGCATTGCTCCACACAGACTTTGGAGCCCACCTGTACCTGGAGAGCACATGACTATCTATGTGGTCAAAGCAACAGAACTCACACTGGTTGTAACAGAAGAACAGACACCAAACACTCATTAAAAGTATTAATGGAATTATGTATTATGGAATAGTTTATATTTAATTCACAAAAGATGTTTAAATGCCTGGCACCTTGGTCCTCAAAAAACCCTGACAGAACCATTAAGTTCCCATTTATGCTGTAGAGGGGAGAACAATGTTATTATGGAATCAGATTCCAGATCACTTGACACAGAGAAAAGATGACCCCAGCAGAAAGGCTTTCAGACTACACCAATGAGTGCCCAAACCTGCAGCAAGTTCTGTGCAGGACCATCTTCACTGCAGGATTAACATGCTGCTGACAGAGGTGGAGAAAATACAGCGAGGTGAGTGGGACTCAAGGACCACAAAAAAAGGCCTCCCCGTCTCAGCACCAGTGTTTATTTTAACAGGCTTTTTAATGGGGGGATGTGTTTCTTTTTTGCCATACATTTGAGCTAAAACAGAAAATGATCTCATTTTCACATATCAGAACAGAACAGACAGTTGTATTTCATTAAAAATTGAGCCCATCATCCTCACATCCCAAAGCAAGCTGTGATGTATTTTTATTTTCTGCCTTTTCAAAATACCACAGGCAGGAAGGCATTTTAAGCCCACTAGTAGCCAAACTTCATAAAAAGACAACATCAAGGGACACTAAAAGATCACAACTAGGCAATGATCTTATATTTTTGTAATTTCTGATTTTATTTTACACCTGTAATGCGACATCTTTTCAGAAGATTGTGCCTACCAGAATCCCCGACATCAAGTTTCATATTGTGCAAGGAAGTCAGTAAGAGAAAGAAGCTATTCTTAAAGATTAATTTTTCTGAAATCTGAAAATCAAATATTCCAATCCCAAAAGTGGAAATGTACATATGAGGATGGGTCCATTTGGTTTTAAAGAGTTACAGTAAACACAGAAAAAGAGAAACATTGGATTAATTTAGATGGAAAAGAGATAAAAAAAACCCAAAACCCTCTCTATTTCAAGTCATTGGAAACATGTATCAAAATTTCTTTGGAAATGAAATGTTCAGCATCTGATCTGCCATTCAACATCCTGTCATTAGGAAAAAACATCATTTAATTTGAAATAAAATGAGTTCAACATAACCATGCAACAATTAGTGTATAAAAAAGCCTTGTCACTTACTGGCTGATGCCTTCAAATGAAGCTTCTTTGGAGATGTTTCCACTGTCAGTGTTAACACCACGCTGGGAGGAAAAAGATTAAAGAGGACCATGATTCCGAGCCAAACACAGGTATTTAAAATTTAAATCACAGGGAGAACCTGACTGCAGTAAGTCTTTAGGAAAACTTAACATAAGTTTACTTGAATCACTGTAAATACCAAGCCCCAGAGTGTTTGTTCAAATGCAGTTCAATATAAGAAACAATCAGCTTCACGGGAGACCAGTGCAGAACTCCAGTCAGGATGTGCTGCTCAGGAAAAAGACAAGCTTTGATTTCTAATGCCCTTGTCTTGAGAGGGAGCTGTGAGACCTTTCTAATGATTAGAAAGGGCAGGAGAATGAAAAACAGGCAAGGCTTCTTCTAAAGTAATTTCATTTTCAAATAAATTATTATGCCCTGCCTTAGCAATGCTTATTATTTAAATTTGCTTGCTGCTCCCCTACAGCTTTCCATTCAAGCAAAGCAGCATAAGCAAGAGTATTTTGGCTGCTACACAGCAGAGGAACACTTCTGACATGTGCCTGGGAAACCCTGCAGAGCAGCATTCCAGGTCTGTACCTGGAATGAGACCACAGGAGGAGGGAACCAGCTTTCCATTCAGCCAGCAGAAAGGGAAGCACTCTTCCCTTCTCTGAATACTTCTTCGTGGCAGTGGAAGCTGTGAAAGCCCCACAGCACCATCCTCTGAGCCAAAAATCATGTGAAAATTCCTGCTTACAACAGGATGCTCACAGAGCAATAACTACTCAACAACTCCATGGGCAGAAATGCACAGTAAGAAGCACAGGATGGTCAAACCTTCCATTTCCCTCATTTCTCTTAAGGAACGTGAAATTAAGCCACAGGGGCATCTTTTAAGTGTATACATGTGTATACAAATATAACTGGGAGAAAGACTAAAAACTATTTCGGGCCTCTGTCCTTAAAGGATAAAGAATTCAGATCTCAGGCCACGAGACTTCTTGAGAAGGGATTTTTTGTTAAGACTTCTGTCTGGTCACTGTCATGGGAAAAGAAATCCAGAAGCTGCCATTGCATTTGCTGTAAGGGAAAGCTCAGAGTCAGCAAATCATTTCTTATATATACTGGAGGCAATAAAACAGATACTCTTAGTAGTGAGAGGTTTACAAAAAGTCTGTAAACAAGGAAAGCAACAGAGAGAGGTGACAGGGAAGAAGGAACTTGCAGTCTTTACCCCTACTCATTCATCCTTCTTCCAAAGAAATAAGCAAGTTCAAAATACTTGGCAGGCATTTCATACTGTCTCCCTCCTCCCAGAAGTTGTTCTTACTAAACCATTCTATGTGGAAAAAGTATTCCCTGCATCCTTGTGGGATTCCCACAGGAAAGCCCAAAGATGCTCATGACATGATAGAGCAGCAGAAGAGGAAAAAGGAGTTTGGAGTCACTGTAGACAGGACCAGGAGCATGGCTGATGTTAGACAGGCTTGCCATGTTTTAGCAGAAAGCCAATAAAGCTTTTGGGCAGACAGAATGAAGACTGGATGAGGCCACAGGGTACAAATCTTGAAATCATGGAGGGACCAGAAGACTAAATTGTTATACACAGGTGGCCTCAAATTTGGCATAAGATTGGGAGGAAAAGAGAGGGAGAGACAGTGCAAAGAAACACTAAATAAATTGATCTCCTTACTGAGGAAAATTTATTCTTCAGAATATGACTTACCAAAGTGAGAAGCACAGCAGGTTTCTTCGAAGCCAAGACACTGGATATCTAAAAAGAAGTTTTAGATTGCTGTTATTTTTCTCTTTTTTCTTCCTCATAATCACATTGATACCAATGTCATCAATATTCACTGCATAAAAAGTGAACAAGCTGCAAAGACAAAAATGTTCCCCGATACCTTTCAGATATTGTATTACCTGAGACATGCAATAAGAGACAGCAGAATACAAATATTTAGACAAAAATGCAGTGATCAGGTTGATGGTGTCCTTTAAAGACATAAATACCAACTATACTTAAGTCTACTGTCATCATTAGGAAGATACAACATATGAGCCAAGAAGTTGCAATGTCACACAGAAATATGGAAGAACTGAGTACCCTCAACACACTACTGCATATAAAACACATATGCATTAATACTATTATGTTACAATGTGCTGAATGCTTAGCAATGAACATTTACTGTTATTAATAAATTAGTCACCTTTTACTGACTAATCCTTTTATTAGGCTCCTTCAGTCTCCTTCAAACATTCACAAACTAAGAACAAAATCTTTGGGCTTGTAGAGAGCTGGGCTTGCAGAGCAGCTGCAAAAGGTGGGTACTGAACTCCACATTTCCTGAGGCAATGAACACCTGACATAATTCCACAGAGCACAGTTCTACCAACTTTAAACCAGTTTAATAGCACACTAATGATATTAACAAAAGAAAGCACATGGCAGTGAGGTTTAAAAATATCGACTCCACCCTTTATTTTTTTTTGTTTCTTAATCTCACGAAACATCAGGATACCACACACTGGTTGGTTATTTGTTGATGTAAATCTATCCTATAAATAAGGCCCCTGGTGTCCTGATGGTGGCAAACCAATTCTTTGGCAAACCAGGCAAAAGTTATAGAAAGAACCTTGGAGAGTTGAACAGTTTTGCTGGAAGCTCCAACAGCTTCTCACTTCAATACATATAGTCCAGGTGGAAAGGAGCCTTTATTTTTTAATTTTATTTGCTGGTCCACATAAAGAGGTTTTTTTTCCCATTAATGATGTTCTTAGGCAGTAAGGAAGCAGAGAATAGAACTGCACTTGTTGGATTCCAAATTTTGGATATGAGAAAAAAAAAACTGCTAGGTTTAAACAACAGCCTTGGGCTGACAGAGACTGGGAAAAAACCTTCATCTAGAGTCCAGATAAGGATCCATTGACGTCATGGGTTTGGAATGTCCTGCCCAAGCCTGGAGAAACCATGCCCTGATCTCATCAAACCTGTGCAGAAAACCTTTTGGGTTTTATCTCTCCCTTTGTGTTACCTGTTCCCCCCATGAAATCCCCCAAGATAAAGCAGGGTTTTTCCCATGAGGTAATTCCTAAGACCCCAAGTTGTGTTAACCTGGGTTTTTCCCTTATGTCATCCTTGTGAAACTCCCCAATTTTAATAGAATGAATATGCAAACCCCCTGTTGAATATGTAAACCCTAAACCCTTTAAATATGAACTTGTGAGTCCAATAAAGCATTCCAGTTTTCTGCCTCCCCCGGGATCATCTTAGCTTCATTGACCTCTGCATGCAATAAAGACATTTGTTGACGGAGAGTGACCCAAGACAACTAAGGTGACCCAAAAGAATGTGATCTTTAAAAATGAAACACGTATTTCCCACTTGCAATTTTCCCTGTCTGAGAGATGAGCATTGGAGTGCCTGCACTCCACACAACTCCAACTCACACATGTCAAAAAGCAACCTCCCCACAGCTTCCTCTACTCCCAGCTCCTGGCATACAGATCAAACTTCACTTCGTAGCTGGACTCATTATGAAAATGAAATGAAACCTCCTCGCAGCTGACAAGAGCAAAATTTTTGGTCTGGAGAGTCACAGTTAGTGCTCTGCAGGAACAGAAGTATCAGAGTCGTCTTCTTCAAGCTGCTCTCCATGAAAATCACCCACAGAGCCTGGCAGGAATACTGTCCTCACCCTGCTGAGCCTTCCTACCAAAGGAAAGGTAGCTGGCCAGGTGCACAAGGATACAAACATCTGCTCAGAAATGAAACGACAAACCTAACTAAGCAAGGCACACTTGCACTTAGAAATGTGAGTATATTTGCTTATTCAAGTAATAAGGTGATTCTACAGAAAATAAGAGTGAGGCAGGCAGCCTTTCCTCCCAGCTTTTTGGAGGCATAAAATAAATGTAGGCTCCCAAGTCAGAGATAGGATGTGCAACCTCCTTGACAGCAATCTCCTCGAATCTGCAAGGCATTGCAAAAAATGTATTTAGTGACAATTTCTGCTGGATAAAGACACAGACTGACAGGTCTCATCATGCCCAGAACACGTTCACAAGACTGCCTTTGGATTAAGGACTTTAAGGGCAGCCTTAAAAAAAATAATTTACAAGTGCTTTAAAGACAGGACATTTTCCAGTAAAGGTGGAGGGAGAGAAGGTCTCACAAAGTCAGGAGACATCCAGTAAGCAGAGGACTAAAATTAAACCAAGTCATTGCCACTTACTGATTTTGTATTCACAGCAAAAAATACCTGGAGACACAGACAACTCACCTCGGTCACGTAGTGGGCTTCATCCACAGCATATTTTTTCTTGAAGAATTCAGGGGGGTGAATCCTTTGGAAAACAGCAAAAGGAAACATTTCGGTTTAGCTTTGCTGTTATATTTAATAAGGCCACATACAGAGAAATAATGTTCTATACTATCACAACAACAGCATCAGATATGAGGAATGTTTTAATAATCTTATCCTTGACTCCATTTCTCAAAATAGGAGGTTACACAGAAAGTTGCCACAGCTACAGAAATCAGTGTGCTTTAATCCAGCCCAGGCTTGATAGTTAGATTGTATGGTCTTTTCTGAATTAGAGGGGTTTTTTCCTGTTCTATGCAAGACAGTTTCATGAAGGATTTGTATGCAACTTTCCAACCCACCAGACTCTGGAAGGATGTGGAAATAGCAAAAGACCAGTCTGCCCTATTTACATGCACAGAATGAACAAAACATTCCTTTTCTGCCCTGGTAACTGCTCTGAGCAGACTGAGGGATATAAAGACATGGGCTCTGCTGCCTCTGCTCCTCAGGACACCAGAGACCTGCTCCTCTGATCCAACAGGGTGGGCACCTTTACATGTCCACGTCCAAATTAACATGTCCACGTCCAAACTAAATCTCCTCTGCTCTTTTCTCCCAGTATCCAACATTTAGATGTTTTTCTAAATGCAAGCAGAGTGTGAAGGATCTGCTTGCAGTCAGTCCCTCCAGGGCTCTCCTCCAGCTCCCATACCAGCAGCTGTACTGTTGCTCATTCCTTCACTGGATGGTAGCAGCCACTTATTCACGAGACTTCAGTCTCTGATTACAATCTCTACCTCCCCAAAACTGAAATAAATACAATCAGTGTAATTCTGAAAACGTAAACTCAAAAGGGAAAAACAAAACAAAACAAAAACCAACCAAAACCAACCAAACAAAAATATAAAGAAAAAAAAAACCACCCGGCTTACATCCTTCCACAGAGTAAAGGCTACTGGAGTTAAAAAACCATGGCATTCTAAAGCAGTAAATCACAGATTTTTAAAAATGTATTAATCTGTGAAAGTACTACTCAAAGGTAACACAAAAATATCTCATTACATGTTCCCTTTTGCAATGTTCCTTTTGTGGACTCTTCCCATCACTGATGGAGATTTCAAAGCAATTATCATTTATCTTTTCTCCCTGGCTGATTTCATATATAATTTAAAAAATCACTATATCCTCTTATCTTTATATACTCTGTATATTATTGTTCCCTTACCTCCAACTTTTGCATACTCTGTTTCTCCTACAGGCATCTCCTTTTGCCCTCCTTCATTCCTCAGAGACTGAAGTACTTTAATATTCCAGAAACATGATGAACAGATTTGACACTTCCCGGTTTTGTTCTCTTTTACAGTCCCAATCAATTCATATGGTAACAGAAGAATCCCAACTGTAAAATCAGCTAAAGTATGGCCAACAGTAATTAATGGTAATGTATGCTCTTTAGAGCAATACCTCCAAAGCACCTTTTTATAATTAGCTGCATTGTTTGAATCACAGAACCGCTCATTGTAAAGTAAATATTTCCTAAAAGTATATGCACAAATGTGCTGGATTTTACTCACTTCATTTAATGCAGTTAAAGTAAGAATAGGTCTCATGTTCCATCACTGCAGTAAGAAAACTTCTGTATTTTCACAAGCTGTTTTTCAACTTCTTTCTTTGTTGTTGTTGTTGCTAGTTGCCTCCTATAATTGTGTGGCCTGCAGCACACTTCTGCTAATTTAATTCTTGGGTTATGGTTAATATTAATCCATTATTGATTCTATTACAGCTTTAATCCCTCCAACATCTCTTTTTATGTACACTACGACTCTTTTGAGGAACAAAAGTAGCTCATCATTCTTTCAAGGCTGAGGAATTTTTCTCTACTTTGAGAGAAAGAAAACAGCAGCTTCCCACAATCCTCCCTCCTCTCTCTCAGTTATTAAACTAGGGCATCTTCTAGATACTTTCAACTCCATCACACCTAATGACAAGCTGCCACAATTCCCAGATGTGCACCTCTCTGCTCATCTTCTCCTTCCTATCTCACTCAGAAGTTGGCAAGACTTTTAGCACATAGAGAGCCAGACTTCTCAGCTCCTCTCTGAAGCACTCACAGCTCTGCCTCACTTTTTTTATACAGCCATTTAGCACCTCCAACTAGATGGTAAAATAAATTCATGTACACTTCCCACAAACTACCATCCCACGGGAGCCACCACGCTCCAGTGACGGAGCTGCCTCTCCCACTGGGAAGATTTCTGCTAAGCCCAACCCTACTGCAGAACCACACAGGTGCAAGGAAAAAGTGCCTGTGGGAGTCTACGCTGGAGTTGAAAAATTCCGTACTGTCACATGGAGAAAAGCAAACCAAAAGCTCAGGGAGAAAGAGAAGCAAGGGAGGTGATTCTGCCCTTCTCCTCTGCTCAGGTGAGACCCCACCTGCAGTGCTGCCTCCAGCTCTGGGGTCCCCAGCACAGGGAGGACTTTGGCCTTCCAGTACTTGAATGGAGCCTTCAAGAAAGATGAAGAGACTACTGACAAGGGCCTGGAGTGACAGGACAAGGGGGAATGGCTTCACACTGCCAGAGGGCAGGGTTAGATGGGATATTAGGAGGAAATTCTTTGTGAGGGTGGGGAGGCCCTGGCACAGGTTGCCCAGAGAAGCTGTGGCTGCCCCAGCCCTGGAAGTGTCCAAGGCCAGGCTGAATGGATCTCTGAGCAACCTGGGCTAGTGGAAGGTGTCCCTGCCCATGGCAGGGAGGTTGGAATGGGATGATCTTTACGGTCCCTCCCAACCCAAGCCATTCTATGATTCTGTGATCCTCAGTGGAACTTTTACACAATCTCTCCAGTCTCTTCAATTTTTTCCCCAGTTTAGTGAGGCTCAATGAAAGATAATTATGCACAACATGGTAGTTACTGTAAAAAAGTACCAGCACAGGGTTCCTTAGCAGATACAGGACTTAGTACCCATTTGTATCCAATTTAAATGCAAAACAGGCTAAAGTCTAGCACTGATTGTCATTGCTCACTGGCATCATAAAAATCAGAAGTTACATTCAGTTATGATAATTTCAAGTACATCTGATACTTCCCAGACACGAGGAGTACTTCTCTCTACAAATGACTCTCAGGAAGCCAGAGGAAGTTAATTGGTCACAATTTTTAGGTTTGGCTTTGTCTTTTGTAGCGCTGTTATGGGCTGCCAGTTTCAGAATTCTGATTAATCACTGCAGAGACTACACACAAAAAACCCCACAGCAAGTCATAAATTAATTAGAAGGATTACCCAAGTGGAAGATATCCCAGATATTTTCGAATCATGTCTCCTTACCTATCAAAAAATAAACACCAACCCTTTTGTAAACAGATGTGAACAGAAGCAATGACCTAATTTTTACAAGCTTCGGGCAGGGGGTGGGGGATGTGCAAAATTTTTGAGATTCCCTGATAACATAAGTTGACAAAAACCCACAGACAATAATGCACTTCAGCCCCAAAAAGGCTCAATATCCTTTCCTATAGTTTTGTAACTCCAGCCAAGCAAATACCAGTGTTAGTTAGAAATGGCAATAGTTAGCTTCCAGAATGGCAGGAGTCATCATTTTATCTTAGAATGGAAATAAGCAGCTCCAAACTCCTGGGACAGCATTGTGCCCAAGTATGAATGCCCAGCCCTCCAGGCAAAAATGCGGCATCTCAGCGTTTATGGCCATTAGAAAGAAAACATAAGAGTCCAGCACTGCTATTTATTTACAAAGTCCTCGTTTTTCTCACTTTCAGCCACAAAGGGCCCCTTAAACAAGAGACTGACTCCAGTTTATCACTTACAATTCATCACAATTTCCAGTGAAAAAGCTTGTGTTATGTTGGCTTAAACATCAGAGCTATTTACATTTTTCTGATGTCTCCCATGGAACTCTTCTGTCTTCCAAGTTTTTCTACCCCCTCTGGTTCACCTGCTTGCTGTCTTACTCTCAAGACTTTAATGGAGATTGGGAAATGCTGAAAATGGCCTAAAGATGTGAAGCTACATTTTAAGGAGAAGAGCTGAATTCTGGTGCACTGTCTTGTTTTAACAGCTACGGTTTTATTAAAGCACCAAATATTGAAGATTCATCCTTCAAAGATATCAAGTGACAATCTCGTTTTAAACAAAATTCTACTGAGGTAGCAATGGGGAAAAAGAGGTAAAGGAGCAGCAGCAATATTTTCAGTGTAAAAATACAGTGTGAAATGTTAAGTCAGGCAGTAAAGTAATACCTCACGTTAGCTGTACTTCATTTCCCTTAAACACATTAATCCAACACAAAAACCCCTAGCAAAAGAGTAAGGGAACATAGCTTTAAAACTAGTAATCAGAAATCCCAGTCAGTCAGCCTCCTTAGAGAAAACTTCCAAGTTTAGAATAAACTTGTCCATTTGGATGAATTAAATTCACAGTGGTACATGATGGCATGTTTAAAAACCAAGATGCTTCACCCAACCACAACCAAATCCCACCAGTGCAGATTTTGCCAGACCACAGCATTATGACTGGTTCCACTTTGATGTGATCCTCAGAGAGGAATGCAATACTCTGTTTATCCATCAGTAAGATGAACAGCTCTGACAGCCTATCTATAAATACAACAAGAAATATATTTTGAAGCTTTTATATAGCTGGACAAAATTCAAATCTCAATTTCTTTGCAGTATTTTATCAGCCATGTCGTGGTTCCACTTTAAACCAAATAAAAACTCGGTCTCATTGTCTAAAATAATTTTAAACCTGTTGTTCATTACACTGCACAAAAATTCATAACACAAATCTTAGGAGATTTGTACAAATTTGACATTACTGCAAGAATTCCATGAAGAAACATTTCTTTATATTCTAAAGGACTCTGGAGCAATAGCCTTGTAATACCAACATGATAAAAGAGTGTTCTAGTTTTCAGAACTACATTCAGAAGAGAGGTAAAAATGAGATGGATCTAAATCACAAATGCCAAAGAAAAACTGTGAACAGAATTTATAACAGCTGATTCCTGAAAGAAACAC